GGTCGTGGACGGGGAGGGGATTCAAGGGGAATTGCGGTACCCCGATGATTTTTCTGGGCCAATCTCTAGCCCCCCTGTCGCTTGTCTGGGCAGGTGGTATGAGAAACATGGCTCGTTTGTTCTTGGGCTAATTTCCACGAACACTATTGCAGAATTTATGCGGTAGGTGAAGCGGTCTTCAATGCAGCCACGCTGCTCATATCTGGACACAGATAAGTACCCCAAATCGTTCGTCGCTGGTCCTAATGTGCGTGTTTTGTCTTGTAAAAAAGCGACCAAGAAAAGGAAGACTATCACGTAAATAACAAGAAAGGTCGGGGTCCATACAACATCCAGCACTAGCGTGCATTGTTCCACAGCGTCAAAAGGCCCTGGCGACGTCAGGATAACCAAGACTGTAGTCTAAACGGAGACGAGGTCGCACGGTGCCGTCATTGGCACATTGCTCCCTCAACAACGTGGAATACTTTACCCCCACCGACAAACGCTTGCAAAGCACTTACTTGTCCCAAATCTGGTTCCAGTCGCTCCGTAGGGCTAACAAGACATCCCGGAATCTTGTACGCCAGAGCGACGCCTCGGTTTCATCGTAAAGTTTTCCCTGTGTGCCTGTGCGGACGGACGAGCACACGGGAGAGGCACATTGCAACCGTGACCGGTGGGGCGCGCGATTAATTATTATAGGCAGGGAAATATGCTGCGATGCCCATTCCTCCTGTGGAACTACTCGACTTGGGTAGTCTATGTAGCAAAACGCTCTACAACAAATGTCACCTTCCCTCTTCCACGAAGAAGGAATACAACACCCGCCACCTACAGAGGGGTGACGGTGGCACGGAATTCCCACATGGGGTTCGCAACCCTTCCTGCTCCGACCGGGGAGATGTAATTTGTGTAGTCAACTTAACACACATTGCACACCCCAACGAAGCTTGTTTTGGAAATCTTCATTGTGTGTACATCACGAAAATAAAACGCCTGCTGCGGCGAGAGGCTAGAGGAAGACAACCACGACAGAAAGATACGAGAGAG